AAATTTCCTTCGGGTTACAACCAACTCGGGATACGCCCAGTCACGGAACGGATTAAGTTCGTATCCCGAGGTACCACTGTATCTGCTGTTAGTTGGGGTCAAATATGTGATGTGTGAAGGCTGAACAGTAGGTAGGTAGGTAGGTAGGTAGGTAGGTAGGTAGGTAGGTAGGTAGGTAGGTAGGTAGGTAGGTAGGTAGGTAGGTAGGTAGGTAGGTAGGTAGGTAGGTAGGTAGGTAGGTAGGTAGGTAGGTAGATGGAGTTTTCAAGTATATGGTTGGGCAAAACAATCAGTTATACAACTTAAGAATTCAGAAGAGGCTACAGTATTTAGCTACTTCCCTAGTGTACCGTTTTGCTGTTAGAGTATATATAAATTGCAACAAGATATCAATTAATATGTAGAAGTGTGAAAGGGTGTGGTCCAAAATCATTTGTGAAAGAACAGGCAACCTTGTGTTGTCCATGTTTGACTTTAGTATTGGAGAAGCCACCAGGGTCACCAAAGGCTCTGCTTCAAATGCATGGTCCAGTCCTTACTTGCCCCACTTCCAGGCAATCTGTATCGGCTACAGCTCCTCCTTCCCCCCCTTTCTCTTTCTTTTCTTCTGTGCTGCTGGTCCATGATTTCTATTGGGGCCTTACCTGTATAAATAGATTTACTGAATGTGTGGACAAGTAGTGGGGAGCCCTGCAGGCCCTGGTCTTATGGGCCCCAAGGTAGACACTTCACCAGGCTCTATAGCTTATTATGTCCCTGATAGCAAGGAAGAGGAGTGCTCAGTATTGGAAAAGTAGAGTTACTCCAGATTTAGAGTCTTGGATTATAGACACAGGTTGGGAATGCCCGGTTTCTAGACAACCCATAGTTAAGAACGGAGCCTATTGTAGCAAAATTTGAGTGAAATAAACAATGATTTGAATACACAATGGTTCGAGTTCATTACACAATACTACTTATGCAGTATTATACAATAATACTGTTCCAGCTTACAGATAAGTTCAACTTAAGACAGACCCTGGAAACAGAACTTGTTCTTAAACTAGGGACTATCTCTATCTGTTTATGAGTTGGCTTTTTGTCAACATATTGGAAGGAAAGATAAATATTATTTTGTACATCAAGGCTTAATAATATGTTTTAAAATTAGACTCAATTGTATGTAATATAATATGGGGGTTTTGTGTGGGTTTTTCCTTTTTGCACATTAAAGCAAAACTAAATGAAAATAATAAAAAAAAGTTGGGTCTTCCAGGACCTTTTGAATTATAACTCACTTAATATTGGCTGTGCTGGCTGGAGCTGTTGGAAATTGAAGTCCAAATCTTCTGGAGGGCAGAAAGATTGTTCTTACCTGCTTGGGTGAATGTAACTTGGTGATTTGTGCACAGGGTGATGAACAACCAGTGAGATCCCAATAAGTGAAGGCCTATAGGAGTAAAAAGCACCTCCAACTGGCTTTACATGAATGCAGCCAATTGTAGTTTATTCAGTAAACCATAGCTTAGCAAACTGTGGCATTGCATGACATGTGACCTTTCTCTGCATTTTGTAGAGCTAAAGTCCTTTTAATGCAGGGGGAAGTGCTGCCCAGGCCTTCAGACTACAGACCTTCCTGGGCAGCCCTGACCGCTCACAACTGGCTTTTCCGTCTGTCTGCAAATTCAGGAGAAATACTTGAAAAGGTGTATCTTGCTTCCCACTGCAAATTCAGGTAATCAAAGTAGGCTTGATATAAGACTACGTTAATGTGTTAGAAGGAGTGAAACTCTTCTTGTTTTATGGAAAGCAAGCCGTTCTGGTTTCAGTGCTTTAAAATGTAACCCTAAAGAGTACAGCCCATTGTACTCAGTAGGGCTTATTTCTAGGTAAAGAAATTTCAGGTTATTTACAGGACCGTCTCTCCGCAGTTGTCTCTACCTATCCTACCCAATCTGGCAGGAGGGGCATGCTCTGGGGGCCATTGGCTAAGGAGTGTCAGCTGGCGGGGCCCAGAAAGAGAGTCTTTTCTGCCATGGCACCCATCCTTTGAAACATCATCCCCCCTGAAATTAGATTAGCCCCATCCTTGTTGGCCCTCCGGAAGCCCTTGAAAACCTGGTTTTGTGCCTGAGCCTGGGGCCCTGAGCATGTGATAGAGGCCATCTCCTGGATGGGTGGATAATTAGTTGGATGATGCTTAGCTGCCATATGCTTTATTTTTTTATATTTTATATTTTATTTATTTTATTGTAAGCTGCCTAGAGTCATGTATGTGAAATGGGCAGCTATATAAATCAAATTATTATTGTAGGTCGCACAGTCAGCCAGTTGTTTAGGCTGGATTTGGCATTTTTATCCACCTATTGAGTCCTTTCCGAGGACTGGGATAGGCAGATGTCGTTTGATGGTGTTAAAGGTATCGTTGCAGGATGTAAGCTATTCCAGGTAAAGCTGTCTTTTGCAATTGACTGATGGTGATTTTGCCAGTGTCGATGGTCTTCAAGTGGTGCTCCAGATGTTTTGGGATTGCACCCAGCATGCCTATTACTATTGGTACTGGCTTTGCTTTCTTTTGCCACAGTCCTATTTCCATTTGTTGTTGTTGTTGTAGTTTGTGTGCCTGCAGCTCAACCTATACTGACTTGCAAGTCCTTCTCGTTGAAATCAAATGGCCGTGATGACAATTTGCATTCAGGACTAAGGTGTAAACTTGTAACACAGTGTAACTGTCTTTTATTTGATAGCAGTCTCGAAATTGCAAGAGGAGATAGCTGCTTTGAATCAAACAAAAATGCATTCCAAACTGTGCCTTTCCTTGGGCAGAAAACTCTCCTGGTTAAATAAAAATATGTTGTTTCTTAGTTAAATAAAAGATTTTATTCCCAATTGGCTTCCTAAAAATACATTATAATTCTGTTTTTGATGAGTTTCCTCTTTATTCCTTACAGGTACCTAAGTTGGGACATGCCTCAAGAGGTCATGGCAATAAAGTCAACTCAGCAGAAGCTCCCAGCAGCTGCACGACAGGTATGTTGACATGGAAGTCTTTGTGACTGCTCTTCAAAAAGATCTTTCAGCGCGTTTCCAGTATTGCATTTCAGAGAAAACTTGTTGCTTTCTCTTCATACTTACATGGTAACCGCATCTTTACAGTACATGGATACCTTATGAATCCTTTTTGAGGTTAGTACACAAGTTACTGCTCCATCGTGTTGCAGTTATACAAATGAGGCAGTTGAGACCACACAAACATGAGCCATGCCTTAATCTAGCCTTCCCCAATTGTAATCCCTGGACTTTTCAGTGAAGCATATCCTGGCTAGAAAATTCTTTACATTGAAGACTAAGTGGGGAAGGTTATGTTGCCTTTTCGAAACAGGAAAAATGTATGTATGTATGTATGTGAGTGCATAAGCTTTATAAGTGTGCTAGATAAATAGGAAATGTGCACATCTGAATGTCAGTCTTACGCTATGTTTTCTGTCTGTTTTCTTAGGCAGGCATGCAGCAGTCTGTACTGTTCTTTCTCGCTGTATTCAGAGTTTTGCCACTTTCATTTATGGGCATGTTGGAGCTTGACAAAAAAGTAAGTTTATTGTCTTAGTGATGCTCTCCTCTCTAGTAATACCTGAAAGTAGATCCATATAAAACCTTTTACTTCTGTTTTATTTTACAAACTTTGAGAAGGCTGAGCTGTCCACCAAATTATAGACACATAGCACAAAACCATAAATCTTGGTTTATTAATTATGTTTCCTGTATATCTACACAAAAGTACAGCCCTGTTGAGTGTGCAAAATTGATGTGTGGAAGCTCTAGCTTCATTGGATCAAAATAGCTGCTAGACCTCAACCCCCTTTCAATTAAATCCCAGTTTTCACACATTCTTTCCTCCCATTTATCTGTACCATTTACATAGTAACTAAACATAAATTGTCTGGTTTGGAAGAAAAATATAATATGTAAAATAACTTGGATTAATTTTTTAAAAAAATTTCACAATTTTGATTGATTAGTACAAAATGAAGATGCTTAAAACTGAAGCTCTGTAGTTCTGCTAGCTGTTTCTAGTGGCGATTGCACAAGCATTTTAACAGTCCAGGGTGGGGAACGTACAAACTACATGCAGTCTCCCCATATCTTATTTGCCAGGACCACAATCCTCCAGAATTACTGCCTGGACTTATGTATTGAACTAAGGCAAAATTTGTTAACTATGTTTTTAAAATAAACCACAGTTGTTTAGATTCACGTGTCTTGTGAAGCACAATACCTGAGTTTACACAGCACTCTGGGCCTAAACTATGCATAATAGCTTTGCATAATGTATGATTCCAGCCACTGAAGATTTCCATGCTCAGTGGGCTTTATCATGAGTGATCTTATAATTTCAATTTCATTACTGTCATATTCCTGGTAAAATGCTCTGCGAGAATTCCAGACAAGCATTCCACTGTCCTGAAACAATTAGCAATAGCTTATCTAAATTTAATATTAATGTAACATCATTAATCTGCTGCCAGAGAGAGGGGCCGTAGCATAGTCGTGGCTTCATGCTCTCCATGTAGAAGGTCCCAGGTTCAGTCCAGGCATCTCTCCTGAAAAGGATCTTAGGGTTAACTGTGAAATACTATGGAAAGAAATTGAAGAGCTACTGCCCATCAGAACTTAACTAGATGGAAAATCATATGGTTCGGTAGAAAATAGCGACCAGTATCCTCATAGTGACAACTGTTTATGTCGTATTTTTGTTATCAGTTGGTCAGATGCTGGAATCCTCTAGTGATCACTTGACTAATGAGATTTTCTTTCCTTCAAACCAGATCTTTGGAAATAGCATGGCAGATGTTTCAGTATCTCATAGAATGCTGATTGTAACACACAGCACAGGTCATGTCAGATTGTATAGCTTCCAGGCAATCTCTGAACAGGTAATAGGATATTATTACAATGCTTTATTTATTTTATTAGTAGTATCACTATAAGTTTATATGAGATTTTTAAGGGACTTTTAACTTTTGCCAGTGAGCGGGTGGGGAGACAACAGAGGAAAGGATCATGTACTACCTACCCAGGCACTAACCGAAAAACTTGTCTGGATCCAAACCCAAAAAAAGAAATGAAGATGATTTTTTTAAAAAAATGATTTTTTTATCCTTTTCTTTTTTCAGTTTCTGTTATTTTTTTTCATTACACTTAAAGATTGCTTCGTTTAATTGTGTTTCTTTTAGTGTATTTAGGTGTTTTGTCAATATTTTGTATTTTTAAAAATAAAATGCTTGGATCCAAGCCAATATAATGTAGAGGAAATGCTAAACAATTTAATTTAATTGGCAATGTATTGTTGAAGATCATTTGAAAGTTCTGATTAAGAAACAAGGCTGTACTTTAAAAATACAACTTGAGGTTACAATCTGATGCACACAATTATTCAGGAGTAAGTATAGGTAAATCCACACAGGTGAGATGCCTAAAAAATTGTTATAAATCAATTTAGACTTCTCTTAGATGCATATGCAAGTATTAGTTAGGTCATCGTATATGTGCAATAGAATTAATCTAATGTGATATTATTTTTAGTTCATGGAACACCAGGTGGATTTGGGACAGGAATACAGCTGGAATGGCAAAGTTGGGATTGTGGGAAAATACCCTTTTGGCATTCCATGTAACATTAAAATAACAGGTATTTATAAAGGCTTATTGTTCATCAGCATAACTGGTTGGCTTCAGATTTTGTTTAAAAATGCTAGCAGTCCCAGTTAGTATTGGTTTTATAATCTGGTAGTATTTTAGCTACTGTTTATGTTACTCAGATTAGCCTTTCCCAATGCAATCCTATATTCAAGTAAGCCTCTTTGAATTCAGTGACAATGATTCTTAAGTAGGTGAATATATAAATTGCAGCCGGTCAGGTTGTGCTGTTAAAAACTCAGATAAGTTAAAAAAAAAAAAAGTTACACTGACTAAAATATTAAGGTGGTGCAGTATTTTGAATTCAAGCACAAAAGATCCAGCTGCTTTAAAGATTTGCTAACAGTTGCTGTGTGAATGCCCCTGCATGCTTAAAGCATCTTTTTGAGATTCCAGTCTGCATAATTCTATGAAATAAATGCTATAGAATGTTAATGTTAATGAAACTTAATTCTGGCCAATGACAGTTAGGCCAAATGGAAATGTCTTGGAACAGACTCCCAAACCTAATGCCCTCCAACTCATTCAGAGCTCAGAATGGTATAGGAGCTGCAATCCAACATATATAAAGGACATCAAATTGGGGAAAACTATTTAAAAGCATAAATAAAAATAGGACTAATTTCCTATTTTTAGTTGTACCCCTCTGTGTCCCAGGAAAGAAATTTTGGGGAAAATTTATACAATAGCTTAAAGAGTGAAAAGGTTATGCTTTTTCCAAACTGCAGTTGCATAAAAATGTGTATAAGCAGTATACATGATAAAATAGCAGCATGTACTACAGCAATAGTAATCATAATAGAAAGGTAGATAAGATCAAACTAAAACCAGCACTCCCTAAAATACTTGTGGAAAATAAAAAGATAATATGATTAAAAGGAGCATAATGGAGGCTCCAGATGAACCTCTTTGCAGAGAGTGGTCCAAAAATGGGGCACCAGTCTGGAAAATGCCATTCTTTGTATTTATCTGTCCTACCTTATTTGGGGGGCAGGGGTATAGCTGGAGAAGAACTGTTCTAGACTTTGTAATTTACTTCTACACTTTGAAGTGGTTTCAGAAACTTAGTGGCAGCCAGTGAAAATGGCAAAGTACTGGTATACTGTAACATTGGCCAGATCCAGTTAGCTGTCTCTGTTTAGGAGTATCTGAACTGTTTTTCAAAAAATCCTATTTTCCATCAGCATGTCTCCATCAGTATGCCTCCATCAGTATTTCTCTTTAAGGGAAATTGTTTGCAATTTTTGTATTAGTTATAAAGGAGACAGAAGCAACATGTGGCTCTCCAGATGTTACTAAGTTCAGTTCCTGTCAGTGGTAACCAGTATGACAAAGGGTGAAGGATCCTGGGAGCTGTACTTCAATAGCATCTGAAGGGCGACAGAGAGTTAATTTATGTTATACAGTAACCCCATAAGCTTCAGGTGTTCCATTATGTTTTTAGGAGGACAATTAAAAAACAATTTAGCTTAGCATATGTGCATGTATATACATGTATGTGTGTGTGTGTGTGTGAGTGTATACATATATATGCACACACACGCATTAAGCTAAATTGTTTTATATGTGTGTGAGAGAGTGTAATGCATTTTTTTAAAAAAAGTAAGTTATATTTTATATGTTTTTAACATGTGTTTACATATCATGTAAACATTCTGCCCCCGGAGGTGCGATTGGCCCCCTCACTCCTGGCCTTCCGAAGGGCCTTGAAGACCTGGTTCTGTCACTTGGCCTGGGATGGGGAGGGAATACTTCAAGCAGCAGGGTGGCTAG